TCTCTTTCTCTTCCTCAATATATAAATATCTAAACCTGTAACGTCATGCACTGATATCGTTTTACAACGTAACCGTTTCTCTTTGATAAAACCTTTTCATCTTCTATTTTAAAACATCATTTAAAAGTCAATACACTCTTCACATTTGTTATTATATATCGTACAACTACAATGAGTCTTAGAGTCTATACGAAATATTTAGGTAAACTTACTACTAATCGTCCGAGGAGTGGCAGTAGAAGCCCTAGTAAAGTTGAAAAATACTATGAAAAAAGTTTTTGATGATGAAAATTACCAACCAACTATTGAATGTCTTGATCCTAAATCATTTTTATTTCTAAATCACTTTCCTTTTGTTCTCGACTATCAAACCTCGAAAGATTTACTTTAATATATGGAAGGTTATTACAAAGTTCTAAACAAAAGTATTAAAACTCTCACTGCATATTCATCTATCCACGTAGACTTTTAAGTACTACTCATAAATATTATCGAACAGATGCAATGAAAAACTTATTTAAAGCTGCACATTCATCATTATCCGAATTATCAAATAAACTTGAAAAATTATATGAGCAAGAAAAGAAAAGCACAAAACACTCGATGTGATGCTTATTTTCAATATGAAAGTCTTAGTCAAGATCAAAAAAAAAACGAAAACAAAATTGCAAATGCGAAGGATAATCATAAGAAACAACAAGAGAAACTAAAAGTCATTCTAAAAGAAATAACATGAACTGAAAAAGAATATAATGGAGAAAAAATAATTTATCACGAAAGAGCAACAAAGATCTATGAAGAATATCGAGTACTGGAAAAAGAATGATTGGATTTAATTGGACGAACTTCAATCACATTCATTGAAGCAGCCTTTTCGTTTGAAAATGTAACTGAACAACATGCAATCTATGAAGATCTTATGTCAATACTCCAAATTCAACAAATTTCTTCAGAAGATCTTGATTTTTGAGCTCGAACTTATCATGTTTATGATTCAACAACATTCCCAACATCTAAAATGTATGACACTGATGATCATTATAATGAAACCAGCTCTATTTAAACACCTAGCGCAAAAATGAATACATCTCAAAAATATGAAACTATCAATCGCACAACGACAGAACAACACGAAAATGAATCAAGAACCCAAGATGATGAAGCTGAAGCTTAGATCAGTTTTAGTATATGAGATTCCACATAAATCAATACGAATGATGACATCGTTATTGCTGTGATAATTCGAAATAACTTTGTCCTTTTACGATATTCATTTATTATTTTGTGATGTAAGATAAGAAAGAAATATTTCATGATAAATCATAAAATTAAATATTGAATTATCATATTGGTATTTGGTATCTCAGTAGCACATTTGTTTGAAATTTTATGCGAATAAAGAATAGTTTGCAATGCCTACCAGTAGAAAAATTTCTTACAAAAATATTTGATATTCACAACAATGAAAAGCTATTTAGATCTATATTGATTCATATTAGTACATTTTTTATAAAATATATTGCTCATTATATTTGAAATCGAAACTTTATTTGTCTGAAAAAACATTTTTTCCAACTTTGTATTTCATGATCATGATCTTTTTGACGAGAGAACAGTACTACGCTTAAATGTTGCCGTTTCATATGCAACACCATACTCGTATCAATTCTAATAGTACATGTGTCGTACAAACTTATACTCTTATAGCTATACCAGTAGCATTGTATCATGTTTGGAGTGAGTAGAATTGTTGACTGGATGGGTCAGTCGATTGAAATTCTTACTAATACACTTCCTTCTGTAAAAGTTTGATCTATCTATTGCCTTTTGAACATTATTGTTGATAGGAAAATAAAGTGAGCTACAAGCATGGTTTTATACTACTCTTGAAATTTTTAGCTTTCTTAATATTCGAGATAAAAGATCTTTACTTTAGATTGAGTTTAACGTTTGATGGCTTGCTAACTTTCTGTGACTAACATAGCTTACGATTAGGAGGGGGAAGCAGGGTGATTTCCCCCTCCTAAATTTTTTCTTACATTCTGCCTTTCTCCCAGGAAATTTTCTGTTATGAAGAGCTAATGGTTTTTAATCTTTCGGTGGATCAGATTGGCTATGCACAAGCGAAGTTCTGTTTCCAATTTTTTAAAGAGAACAAGCTATTTTCTCTCAAAGAGAAACTGAATCAAGTCGATCTGATTCCGTTTCTCTTTCAGTTTTATTTATTTTCTCTTTGATCAAAGGGAAAATAAATAAAGCTCAAACAGAAACTGAAACAGGCCAAAGAGAAAAAACACTAGGCTGCCGTTCGAGCAAAACTGGAATAGACAAGGCGACTCACTGCACGAGCCCGAAAAATGCCAGAGCACGACTGTATACGATATTTGCTATTTCAAAATCTTAGACTCGGATAGAGGAAATCATTATGAATTGAAGTTTCTTTCTGATATCTTGACTCAACTGGCAAGTGAGAGATAATGAATCTGAATCTGCTATTGCTATATAAAGAAAATTGTAGCTGTCAGGTCATACGATTAGGGAGTGGAAGATGGGGATTTTCCCTCACCTAATTCTTTTCTTGCGTTCTACCTTTCTCCCGGGAAATTTTTGTTAGCTGCTGTTTAGCGGGTTTTTTGGTATTTTCAATAGAGGAAATGCACCAAAACCATGCAAAAGAGAAAGCTTTCTGCCTAATTTTCAAAGAGAATCAACCATTTTCTTCTAAATAGAAACTTTATCTCAAGATTTCAAAGAAAAGCAGCTGTTTTTGAGAAAGATAATGCGTTCTCTTTAGGTTTTCAAGGAGAATCAGGTACTTTCTCCCAAATAGAAAGATTCCTTTAAGTTTCGGCTACTTTCTCCCTGACTTTGGGAGACTTTCTCCCTGACTTTCTCCCCCTCCTGAATAAAACCAAACGAAAGCTCTGGTGACTAATAAACCGTTTGTGGTTGCCATGCTGTTACATTAGCATTTAACAGCGACTTTTGTTTACGGTCTTTGTTTACGATAGTCGTAATAGAAGAAAGAATACCTCTGCCTTTCAACTACCTTGCGGTATGAAGTGCTGCTTAGCAGAAGATTCAATAGTTCGGTATCTTCACTACCATTAATAATATTGATAGCTCTGGACAGAAGGCCAACCTCACGTAAAGTTCTTGTTATTCATTCGTTGATATGCCCAAACACTAAAAAACTAGGGTTTTCATGCACCCTAAAAACGCTCTTTCTATCTGATATAGATCTCATTCCATTCCTATAATAACCTAATATCATACATAAACGCAGTATCAGCTAAATATGGATTGTTTTTCTTGGAATCGTTAAAGACACATTGACGATTATGTTAGTATTTTTTATTTTTATAATAATACAATTCATAAGTTATATTAGTGTGAACAAATCATTTAAACAACTTTAGTATAAAATAATAAAAAAAATACTTTCTAAAAAAATATATACTTCTCTATTTATCTTTCACTCTATTATTCACCATGAGACGGACACAAAAAAAAAGCATGCCATTTGATGGCTAGATACAACAAGCATAATGCTTTTGACTGAGATTGAGAATATGAAAATAAAAAGAACCGGCAGAGAAAACGAACAAGAAATAAAATCAAATGCTAAATATTAGTTATCGGTGGTGTTTGATCATGAGTCGTATTATGCGAAGATAATGGTGAAGAAGGTGCAAGAGTAATATTTGAAAGAGAAGTAGAATTTGAAGAATCGTTTGTCTTGAAAATATTGGAAGCATTATATGATTTAGATAAAAGCAATGGAAGTGGACAAAACGGGATTTTGGTCAGATATGGCGAAAAACTTGTTTTTGGAACACGTTTGACATGCTGTTGATCCCTATTATAGATATAAAAAAAAATATTTGTTAGTGCCTAATTTCAGATCCGTCTAGGTCAATCTATGATTTTACTATGAATGTATCCAATCTCGAATTAGAGGCTAGCGAAGAAACATATGCAATTGTCAGACGTCATTTTAACTTAAGTTTTGGCTATGAGTAGAACTCAAAGAGAGTAAGAAAATTCGAAAAAGGTTTGTGTCTAAACGGAAATATAGCTTTCACATAGGTACAAGAAAATGAAGTTTTTTTCTGCATTTCATTAAGATGAGATCTGAAAATTTTAATGTAGAATTTTCATTTGATACATAAGTCGGAGTCATATTCATTGGAGAAGATCGGATTAATCTCGAGAAAGCATTCATTTAGGTCATTAATGTAATATAGAAATGAATGTAAATATTTTCCTTTTTTTTCTTATACAAACTGCCAGCAAGAAAAATATAAATTAATACACTAACTTCTTCGTCGATATCTCTATTGTTCAATGTATCATCGAATATATCTCCACACTGTTAAGTGTAATATGGGTGGGTCGTGATTGTATTTGATAGGCACGATATAAAATTTTAAAGTCTTATGTAAAAATGTTCAAGAAGTTCTGTTGCTTCATAATACTGAACGGATCGAAAACCAATCTCTTGACAAATTCAAATAGACAGGCTCATCTGTAAAACAGAATATGAGAAAATACTCAAGTCAGTTCGTACGATATACACTACAGCTGACGTACGCATAGTTCTCAAACAATGCGAAATATATATTCTTTCTTTTCTACAGTACAGTATACTATTAGAACTTGAATGAATGTGACTCTGTCTGATATATCAAATGAGAATTCTATGTTAAAAAACATTCCGTTTTCGTATATCTCTGTGGCAATTACATCTTCGTGTAAAGCGCGTCATAGGTCAGAAACTTTTTTGAGTATTCTAAATTTCACTGAGTCCTACCCATAGTCAAAACTTAGGTTCGTACGATATCCGACAATAGCGTATGTTCCATCGTTAGTCTCGAATTCGAGATTGGCTGTAATAATCTGTCAATTCTCCATTAAACTCTAACCATATTTATATATTCTTTTATTTAAAACTATCAGAAATAAAACTAAAAAAACGCAAGCATCAATGATAATTTCACTTACGTGGCTTTAGCCGTTGTTGTAATTGGACATAGTTGTGCTTCATTTACTGCACACTGAATATCACGAGTAAGACGATCAAAATTAACATGTGCTATTTTAACAATATTTTTTGATGAAGATTTATCAATTGATATTGAATTTGTTGATTGAGCTAAACTTGTATTTGAATGAATAATTAAATTATTTTCATCTTTTATTGCACTATTACTACAACTATCATTAGAATGTGATAATGATATATCATCAGGACAAAATAATGAATTTTCATCAGTACAATCTAATAATGTTGTTTCATTAGTGGTTTTCATGTTCATAGCTTTAAATCGACTACGTCGTTGAACATCATTCCACCGACGTAAAATTCTTGATGTTTGCTTAGAACTTGTTATAAAAGATTTAATATGATGAGAATTTTCATCTGAATTAACATAAACAATAGGTGAACCAATTTTTTCATTTAATTCCGTCGTATTATTTAAATCAAATGAATTATGACGTACCTTTAAAAAACAAACTTATATTTTTATTTAAACACAACAAAAAATTCTAAATAGCATACACGTGTTGTTAATGATTTTGTTTGTTGATGATTTTTTATTGATGATCGATCACGACGATGAAGTAAACGTGTAATTTTTTTTGGTAATTCTAAATTAAAGTTTGTTATTTGTACATTATTATCATTATAATCATCATCATCATTTGTATCTGAATTATTATTAAATTCATCATTATTATCATCATCAAATAATTGTTTCATATCAAAACGAATACGTCGATGACGACCACGTTGACTTATAGTATATTTATTATCATCAAAATAAGATGATGATAAATTACTATTATCAATTGTTTGACATGTTAATAATATTGATTCTTCATTACGTATACAATTTTCTAAATCTTCATGTTCAGACTCTGATGCTGTTATACTTTCATCACTATTATATATTTTAGTTTTAGTTTTTCTTTGAAAAGATTTTTTTGATAGACGTTTTCGTTGTTTCATATCATTTTCATTCATATTAATTAATAATTCTTTTAATTTTTCAATTAAACAATTTGATAATTTTTTATGTTCACATAATGGACAAAACCAATCATCATTAGGTATAGATAAAAGTATAGGTTGTAAACATTCTAAATGATAGCCATCATTACAATCATTACATAATAATAATATTTCTGGTCGATCATTTTGTAAACATACACAACAAGATGTTATGGTAGTTGATGTTTGTGCTGTTTTAGTTGTATGTAATGGTTCAGTATTTTCTTCTTGTTCAAGTTCAAAGAAATTATTATCAATATCTATTTGTGATTGATTAGGAAGATAATCATCAGAATTATATTCATCTTCAGATAAATAATCAATATGTTCATCTGAACTTGATGTTGATGAACAAAGATAATCTTCTATATTTCGTCGAGATTTTGTCTTACGTCGACGACAAGTACGACGATTATTTGAAACATTTGTTTTACTATTCATTGAACGTTTCTTTTTTGCACCAGGAAACTAAAATTAAGTGAAATTAGATTCCTGTTTAAATTTAAAAAATTGTTCAAAATAAAATATATATAAAGAGTGTTTTAATAAATAAGTTTTGACCTCCTTCAATGACTCCAGGTGAATTAGATACGACCGCGAAATCGTAGGAATTTGGAATTAGGTATTTGGCAATTGAATTTATTCAGGGACTGCAATCATTAACCTAGAATATTCTTTTCTTATATATTTTTCTTAGTACAATAAGCTGATATTTACAGCATATATCTCTTATAGTCATAGAGATAGAAGTACTTGAATCAATGATTTCCGCCGAAAAAACACCGCTTCTGGTCGGAATACAGTAGGAGATTCAAAGCAGGGATACGGTCAATGGGTTTTTTCCTGTTTCGGTTGTAATCGGGTAAAGCCGATCACCTGATTACTGCTTTCAAGTTCCTACCATTTACTGACCTGAACTGTTTTTATTAAGGATGCTAATAACAAATAGTAATTTGAACAAGATTTACAAATCGAAATCATTTAAACATAACATTTAAAAAAAAAACGTTCGTCACTGTTTATGTATCTGCTCGCCATTTTGATCTATCACTTGCCTTAATCGACTAGATAATTTTTTCATTATTTCAGTGCAGCAAACATTTTCTACTTTTGCATTCCTCAATTGTCTTATTCTGTTTCTTTTTCAAATCTTGCTCCTCTCAATTTTTCCTAAATCGCACTCTGGCCTATCTCGGTTGACATATATCAGTAAATTTTGCATCACCAACTTCAGGATCACTGCGCTCGTCAAATAAAGATTCAATAGTATTCATCGTAACTATTATTCGATATCTGCTATCCTGATTGTCTTGAAAAATTGATATCAAGTTAATATTTTTTTAAAATGCCGCGCAGAAAACTCAAAGTTATTCGTTATGAGAGATTAATCGATTTACTAGATTTTTTTCATCGGTCCTCGTTGTAAAAATACTTCAAAAGATTCCTATCTAGGTCAAGAAATACGAGCTGTTTCCGGCAAAACCTGCCGCAGTCATTGACCAATCTATTCTATTGAAAAAGAACATATAAGAAAAGAATATTACTTCAAGTGAATCAGAACATTTTTAGACACTTTTGATGTGAGTTCCATCTGTTTCTATTATGAATTAAGCATTACAATACACTATTGGCATGAGTAACTGATTTTTCATACCTGTGAAATAGTTTTACTACGAACAACAGAATTTGATACTTTTCGAAGTCGTGATGATCGACGTGTTGAAAGACAAACATCATCCATAGATGATTCTGCTTGTGGAATTTGATGATCATCATCATCATTGTAATGTTCTTCAATAGATAAACTTCGTTTTCTACCTCGACGAGTTGATGTTTTAACTTCTTGTTTTATTTCTGTATTGATTTTATTATTTGATGATTTCTTTGAAGCTTTCGATCGTCCATGTTTTTTTTTTATTGAAACATTAGAATTATCATCATCATTATCCGAAATTATTTTCATTTCTTCTTCGTCTTCTTTGTTTACATTAACTGGAGTAGGAGAATAATATTGTTCAAAATCATTTGATGGTTGTAAAGAAGAAAATTGTTCATAATCAATTATCCAATCTATATAGTAAAATCAGGCATACAGAATATTAATTCTCTAACTTTTCTTACCAGGAAATTTCTTTCGTACTACAAAATCAGTAATCAATAATTTAATAAAATTTTCTAATTCATCACAGTTGCTACGAAACAAAAATTAAAATAAATTTTTCTAATTTTAATAATTTTCTACTCACTTAGCAATATTAGTCCATGTCCGATCAATATTAATATCCTCACGAAATAATCGTACAAAACAATTTTTATCCTATGATAATTCAAATATAGATCTTCATTACTATATGATACAAATATACACACCATAAAAAACCAATATGAAACACCAAAACGATCACGACCTAATGGTGAAGATTTTATTTCACGTGCTAATTTATTAATTAATGAATTTTTTAAGATTTGATTTACATCAAATTGACTTTCAAGTAAATTCTAAAAATAAGATTTATATAAATCTTGGCTAATCAGATCCAGTCTATACAGGCCTATCAACGACCGTATACGACTTCCGTGTACGAAGAGAGTAAAAGAGTAATTATTTTCTTTTTACTCTGCTAATTACACCATAGTTCTCCGAATATGACACGAAAATATACGGTCGTAATAATGAGTCATATAAATGATCGTTTTTATGACAATGCCTGTTTGGTTTGTGTGATTCATAGTTTTATTTACCTTTATAGTTCGAATTTTTAAATTAATATCTGCTTGTAAATAACCAGTTGTTTTTAAATGTTCACTATCGTGTACATCAAACCGAGAAGCAAACTATCAATAGGTACAAAAAAAAGTAAAGAAATGAAGAAGAACAAATCAATTTCGATATACTTTAGTAATAATTGAATCGAATTTTTCATGTTGAGCATTTTTTGCTAAGGATAATCGTTTGAGAAGAGTAAAATGAAAGTCAATAAGACGTGGTGAATCTTAATATAACATCAAATATTTATTTTCTAGATAAATTATCAAAAGAAATAAATTTACTTGGTTCTTGACAATTGACAAGATGATCTTCAAAACGTTGTAATGGATAATCAGGTAAACTAAGTATATTTCGAAATTTATCCAAAAAACAAAGAACTATTCCATAATTTGGATCATTTAATAAACTTTTTCGACGTTGATCGTTTTCATTATCATCTTCATTTAAATAGCAAGATTCAGTAGAATGACTCGCAATAGTCATTTTTTGAATTCGTCGTTTTTTAAAACGTTCCGTACAGTTATAATCATACGAATTATTTAATATAAAATAATATAATTGACATCTGTAATTATATGTAGTTTTTTATACTTTATTACAGAATAAATTTCTTCATATTTCCTCATCTGTCAAGTCACGTTCGAGTCCAAAAAGTTTCATATTTCATCATCTTTATTAACGATGAATCACGATTTATGTATAAAATGACGACTGGATACTTTCAAACAATAGATGTCACTATAAATATAAACTTCAATCTTTCTGTCTACTGATTATCGTCTGATTTGATGACTTCGTTTATCACAAGTCTCTTCACTTCTCCTCAATCACTCATAAATACAACAACAAAAAACTTATTCCATAAACTAATCCATGTCTATCATTATGACGATCGTAAACAGGCCGTAAATCACCTATTTTGCTAAGATAGCATAACAGTCGTATATCATCGTGTCATATTCAACGACATATGCATGTGCTCTTCTATTATAATGAAGCATAACCTCTTTACCTTAAGAACTATGCGTTTCTATGTATATCTCACGATAATATCTAAACGCCAATACTCATATATGAATAGCTGTAGAACTCTACCTATCCAATGTCATTATCCATTTGGATAATGTTCATATCACATGATATCTAAATAAAATATATCTCCATGCATTCTCTACTTATAAATACACAATACACGTAGACAAAAGCTGATTTTCGTGCCTTGTGCTATCAGTTACTTTTATCACCCTATCCACTGGGTGTGAATAAGAGTGAATGGAAGACCATCATCCACAGCCACACCTAATAGATATGGCGATGAGAGTACAGAGAAAAATTTCTAGAATTCTAGACCCTACGACACAATACATAGAGTGATTTGAATAAAAATCTTATTAACACATTTGACGTGATTCAATTTTATTAGAGAGTAGCTCTGCAGATTCATTTTCGTATGCATTCGTCTTTTGACAAATGCACTCGGTGGCATTTTCATTCTGTGCTGGCCCCTCGTTTTCTCTTTTCTCTTTATAACATCACATAGAGCGAAGTGACTATTCTGCAGTTTCGCGAATGTTTTGTGTAATCTTTACCGCTTGGCATGCCATTCGAGAAGCTGAAATCCGGCCCGGGACAAAAATCAACAAGCCATTCGAAGGGCAAACTCGCTGATAACACGCTCGAAGAAAAGAAGGATCTGCACGCATTGTCCGAAGGCGCTGTGCTGGCTGCTAATGCAATAAGTGATTTAAAAAATAGCGACGGCAGAGCAGATGACATATTATGTGTGATCTTCTCCGTAAGAAAAATGAAAAAAAAAGTGTTTTCTATTAAGTTTCTTGTTAAAATATGGTGGAACACACCGGTGGGTCCCATCGTAGCGAATTCTTTAATGGAAATATTTCAGTGAATCAAACTACAAATTGTATTGGTGTTTGCTTAGTCCTAATCAAATGACAAAGTAAAAAATAAAATGTGCTCGATGATTTCACTAATATAGAATAATGATTATCATTTGCACAAAATTTTCCAACAGCGTCTCACAAATATAATTTTTGTAGAAGATATGCATTACAGCGTCTTGAAAGATACGACGAGCTGTAAGACGATAAATATCTGACAAGTTTTGTTGAAATATTTGAATACGACAATGAGAGATTTGATTTTAGATGTTTTCAATTGATGCAGAAGAATTCGTTTGTTTGAGTTAGTACACTTCGTATATAGTATGTCGATCAATCGGAGCTCGAAACGAGATGAGTTTCTTCTTATCAGCCTGTTACCATTCTTATCTAAATGAGCGAAGTTACTTTATTTTTATTACTCTTTATAATAAAGAGCAAATATAAAGATAAGTGAATTCTTTTTTTTTTCAAAAATAAAGATAAAATAATTGACAAAAACGTTTTTTAATGAAAGCCTAATTTTTGATTTGTACCATGTAGCTCACAACAATTTATGATGCCATAGATAAAAGAAAATATACAGAAGAATTTTACTGCATCTATATTTTTTCATGTGTCAGCTTCATTTTTCAATAATATCACATGTCGAAGTAATGCTAGTGATAAGAAAGAATATTGATCAACATACTCTGTCGTTATACTAGGTATTTTCTATTCATGTATCACAGGAAAAAAATCTTTCTTTACTTTTCTTTATGAATATAAATTTTGCATTGATATTCATCTTACGAAGTAAAGATAAAGTAATATCTCTATTCCGAACAAAACTGTTTTGTCCGAGCCAGAATTTAGCTCTGACTCAATGCTTCTTCTTAAGTTCGAGTATTGATGAAATATGTGTCAAGAAGAAAGATAGAAAAAGAGCAACGATCATGCAAGTAAAATAGAAAACAAAATTCTATCTTAGTCAAGAAACTTTTCTATTATCTTTGAAATCGACATCAACCTAAGATGTTATTTACGGAAATCTTTGACATAAAACATTTGTTAGTCATTGTGGAATATGAAAATACATTATATATTTACGCTGTATCGTTGAAGAAATATTTGAATGTGAACTACAAATAAAACTACGTGATTTCACAACAACTGACCGTGATTTTGAAAAATACTGCGTCATACTCACAAAACACAGCATAGTTTCAATGTATAATCAGTGATCTATAAACAATGGAACACCTTTTTTTTCGAAATTAGAAACGCATTCCAAAAATTTTCTTTTGTGCTCAATAGTGAGAGCACTTTGATATCTGCAAAATTCTCGACTTTGTTTTTCACATAAGTTTTTTCGTATCAGCGAAAAGCTGAAAACACTAACAGGCGCTCAAATTGTCTGAATAAGAACTCTGATATTTTTGAAGAACACCAATCAATTCATTTAAGCTTGTGTGCTTTGAAATATTAATTTAAAATGAAAGCGTTTGATATTAAATAATAATGGATGTTATTGCCTTACATTTCTACCATATTCTATATTAAATCTAATTTCTAATATCCGTAGAAAATTCTTCGTCAATATTTCACTTTATATCTTAATAGAAGTTTATTATAGTTTTTTGTTTTATAAAGTAAAATACCATGTTTTTCATGTCTTCCTTATTCTCTTTGTATCTATTTTATAAATGAAGCAAACTTTACGAGCAAATACAGGCTGGGAAGATTTCAATCCATCATTAAATCTGTATTACTTGACATATATTTATAGAACTCAAAAAGTTATCTGTTTTTTGCTGACAAGTAAGGAAAATATCATCACATGTTAGTTTCTTGATAAATCTCTTGTTCATGATTAAAGAATATTTCTTTTTGTTGATGACATTAAGGGAGTCAGACTGGCTTCTTGAGAATTTATTGATGCTAACCGGAATATATCAAAGCAGTTATATATGTTAGTCAATCTTCTGTCTTCTGTTTCTTTTCTCTTCTATTATTAATACTAATTATTAATTGTCACATGAAGATGACAATTAAAACGCATTTCGACCATCGATCACTATCTTGCCCACATGTTACCAATTAACAATAACAGTAGAAAATAAAAGAAAAACAATGAAAACTAGATAAATTAAGCCCTGTGTGTTCTAAATAACTAGTATATGATAATTTACAATGATAAAGACTGAAGAAGGCATCATCGAGTTCCGAAACATCACGAAAAAATAACATTATAATAATAAAAAAGAAAAAATTTATTACGAAACGAACAATCAATTATGACTTTCTTTCACAAAAAGAAAGGAACTCCATATCTATTTATAATCTTTTCACTTTGACAATAAAGAAAATCTCTTTATTTATATTACTTTCAGTAAAATTATATTATTATATTATTCTGATCATCGTCAAGACTTCTATCCTACATCCGATTGTTTATATGCTTATATGATCACTAATGAAAATGAATACAGGGTACCTTATGTTCGTAATTATTATTTAACTCCTTATTGTCGAAGACCTGATTATGATCAAGAAGAAAAACATATGGTAAATATCGAAGATGAAACTCAAACAAAAACCAATAGTATTTAATGAATTAAAGAAACAAAACCTGTCTCGAGAACAATTACTTATTTGATCGGCAGCTATCGATATTAAAGAAAGATATGAAATCAATAAGACAACTTCAGAAATGTTTTACAATTGTTCACCACCAGGGTTTGATTCTATGTGCCAATACAAATTTCTTTATGACTTTTTTTGTCATCATTTGGTGATATTGTTGATGCAACTTTTGAAAATCGCTCACAAACCGAATACAACATTACTGATAGAACATGTTTCACAGAAAGAAGAAATTTTATCGTAATGTTTGGTACTTATATTGATGAATAATGAAACAATATATTGCTGTGCCTTCTGAATAGTTTTTAGTCATATGAAATGTTAATGAAATAGTAAACGAAACAAGAGGAAACACGATTTAATTCGAGCTGAATTAAATATTAAAACGAATACTCATCGTACATGTACATAGTTGTATGATTATCGTTTAACTAAGTAGATCTTTTGAAACAGATTCGGTTGTCAGATAAGTACGGTCGTATTGCACAAGTGCTACGAATAATTAGTTTGGTGAAATTAAGTTTTTTTTTTCACTCTATTTATTTTGATTTATACTATTTGCTGAGTTGACTTTGATGTTCTATTTTTCCTATATTCTAATAAATGTTTATGCGATAAATACTAACACAAACTTTGTGAAATTATCATGCTTTTTTAATGTCAATTGACTTATATGAAAAGATTTTCTTCACCACCTTCATTTGAAAAAGAGAAAAGTGTGTATCCAAGTGACAAGCTCGATCTTATCACAAAAAAACACCGGATGCCTCTTGAAGTTCAAAGAAAAAACTCCTGATTTCGTTCTTGATTTAGTAAAACAAACCTTCTGAAATATTTCTGATTTCTAAAATGTAACTTGGTATGTCTGATCAAGTTCCTTGCTATCGTTCCATTAACTTGTATGAATTCTATTTTTTTTCGTGCCAACAAAATTAACCATTTTGCGAGAAACGACGCAGAAAAATGAGCTTAGTAAGTTATCATTACAATCCGCGAATACTTCCAATTATTTTCACTTTCTTCATGTTATTTCAGAAAGCAAGAACAAGCAATACTATTCGAAAGAACGTATATTAAATTCGCTATATAACAAAACTATTTCGTTGCCATAGATCAAAAAAATAAAATAATCTGAAACCGAACAACAATCAGCATTCCGAGATGTTTAGCATTATCTTATCTCCTTCAATGTTCCATATACAAGCATTACTTTCTATGCAGTCGTCTTTGGTTCGATCGTAACTCTCCTACCACACTGACTTTCAGCATTGTGGTATGTTGTTGCCAGAAGACTATGATGCTTTTATATCTCGCACATGAAGGAGGACAAGGGTCAAGTGTTTTCACATTACAGTAAAGGTATTATGTACCGCTCACTCACAGAACCCAATAAACTTCTACGGAAGAGGTAAATATTAGAATGTGAACATATTTAGGTTACCTATGAGTGCTCATAAATTCCTACCCACCACAGATAGAGCAGTAAATTAGATTGTCTCAACTGGCAGAGAACGGAAATGCAATATTGATGCACAGAAGATGAGCACTAATTTACTTCAAATGAAAAAATACGGGAAAAGACGATACTCAAGTATTGTATGAATCCTTACACCCAGAAATCATTGTTATTCCGAGCATTCCATCAAAATTTAGATGGCCACTACGCTTTGGATTTTGGAAACCTACAAAATTACGAGCGATTGCTTAATGTATACATGGAACGTTACGAAGAACTCTATAGAGAAATTGTTTATCGGGGAGCGACGCTAAATAATGACAAAATTAAATTACATCTGACAAGTGACTATTATGCAACGTGGTACTCTGATAAGTACTTATTGACAAGCAAATGCCGACAGATGACAAAAATGTTTCGTAATGCTTTAATAATAATTCATATGGACGAATTATCCGACAGTATAATGGAAAAGCGGTTGAAGTGTTCCATTTAATGACTGTTTGAAGATACACCATCATTTTTCCATTGATCGATTGTGTCGTATCAAACTCCATTGACTTGATCGGAATCATAAAATTAAATAGGAGTGCCTCATACGCTCGCGTTATATGTTACTTTTCTTTTCTCACCCTTTGCAGACCAACAAGTTTTGTTGGCAGAAGCATTTATACTTTTCAAAACGTCTATCATCAAAAATGATCACAACTGTTGTGAAGCTCGAAAAAAGAAAAAAATAGGCTTCTATCAGCGAATATCAAATGATTAATATGAAAAATCCAATGATGACATTTCAGACACAAACAGCGAACTCTAAAAATATTACATCACTCTATCCATATTAACTAGCAGACATGGTTCACAAATCAACTTACAATTTTATGACTTATTCTTATAAATACATATATTAGACAAGTATTTCGTGGAAGTCACGTAGATTTTCATAGAAAATAATGAGTGTAACTTTAAAGACGTGCTTTTTTGCGGCTTACCCTGCTCCCTCCCTCCCTGTCACAGGTATCCACCATTAAAGATATTAATAACCAATTGTTGAACAGAAAAATAAATAAGGATATGGATACATGATTCTTTACATCCACAACAACACCCACACTCACAATATACACATTCTCACCCTCTTCATGATTCATATTCATACCCACTTTTTTCTATTCTATAACTAAAGTTCCTCATGTTCTTCATCGTTTCTTTCAATTTTACTTTTCGACGAAAGAAAAACCGGAATTAAGCTTTCAACGAAACGAGAAAATCATCTATAGAACAGTCAAAATAGACATCGAAAAAATACAATAGTGAAACTTAAGTAATTTATTCAAGTAGGGTACTTTTTCATGGTATTCATTAAGCTAATATCTATCAGAGAATAATTGTCTTCACACATGAAGGAAAATTTGCAACACAACTATGGTTGAATTCAAATAAATGTTTTCTATTTGTTAAAGAATGTTTTCCTTTCAGTTTGAATGAATTTGCTAATCCTCTAGTAATTTATATATGAAAATTTTTTTATTCTAATATCAAACATTTTTACAGCAACCGAAAAACTATTGAATGACTATTGCATATCATATTATCATCTTATTTCTTTCTTTCTTTTTTGTTTAAATGAAATTAAAATTCATTAGCGATATAAATCGTTATAAAACAATATATTTAGATAATTTATATTTAAAAAAATACATTTTCATAAAAGTTTCGAAACAAGAAAAAAGAAGAAGAATTTATTATATTAAGTTGTCTAGGCATGTGCCACATAAAAGACATCTAATTATGTTGTACGGATAACATGCTAGTGAAGAGATTTCATTTATCGATAAATTTCTAATTAAGAGTCTATATTCAATTTGTCTTATATTAACTAATCACGATTTAATAAAATAATTTATTTTATGGAAAATGACTAACAACAATTAATTGAAAATATTAATAAAATAATTACCTTGACTATTTTCAACAATCGATGTAATTCGTTAAAAATTAATTGATAATCGGTGATCGAATTGCCGTATTTTTCATTTTTCCGGTACCGCATTTCGAATATTTTTTCTTGTTTTATCCTCTGTTTCTATCATAATGGACAAATTCCAATGTAGTCACAGAAAAACGAAGCAAATCAGCCAATGCAAAATTTTTTCTTCTGATGAAAGGCGCAGTGAAACCTATTGAAAACCATCCCTCGTATTTTCCAAGATTTCAGTTTTCTCGATTACTCGACATTCGTGCTTTACATCACATTTCGTTTTTGAGAAGAAGTTAGTAAGTATTAAAAAATAATTTATTAATGAAGAGAAGTATCTAATTTTTGAATAAATATAAATCAAAAATGAGAATAATAGATAGCAAGAAACACATTGAGGAAAAAAAACAATTCTTCACCGAGAAAAAGGACCATAACAAAGAAAAGATTTATCACCAAAAAAAAAGAAAATTCATCGTTTTTTTTTCGTACGAATATGTTCAACTCGTGGATGCCTTCATGGATAATTCTCTGAAGACAAGGCAGTCTATTGTTTCATTACATGAATAATACTTCTCATTATCATCTATGGATTTGACTTGAACAATTTTTGCATAACGAATATCTTTTTCTTGACCAGCCATTGTTGTTTTATGCGGTACATTGATAAAATTGTTCTTGCTGTTGTAAACCGTATGAGATCCATCATCGGTGTTATTCTTCACCTGGATTTGATTCAAATTTTCGTAATGATTTTGTTCATTATATCGACCAGTATAAACATGTGATACATAATTCTCGTAAGGTTTATACTGGTATGGACGATTTTTATGTCGATTACGAGTAACATTTTCATTATAATATTTATCATGATTTTCTTGATGTGCATGTAGATTTTTGTCGCCTGTAGCTAGCTCACATCTAGATCTATTAAATGCATCAGATGACCGTTTCATTTTTGGCTTATTACGATTTTCTGGAAGATGATCATTCTACAAGAAGCTTTTTGTATAGTAATCCTTATTAATAATATAACTTACGTTCATATTATTTGAATTTGCTGTATTCTTTCCAAAGCAAGAAAAAATCTTGGAGAACATCTAAAAGTCAAAATTACAAAATTTGATGAGATTCATAGAAGTGTTCAATGATTTATTTTTATTCCCTTCTATGGATAGTCCAGTCTATTTAGTCTATGATGAGATATATTGATTAGGCATCAAATCAATGTCGAAATGCACTATCTATTTTTTTGTGAAGACCCAAAAGATATAAATACTATATAGATACTATAAAATAATTATTTTCTTCTTTTAAACTTCACCCTAATTTTTCCATAAAATTCTTACCGCGCAGTAGACGGCGCTAAACTACAATGTTGATTCAGCATAAATATTATGTAAGTATGCAACTTCAGTTGTCGGAAAAAAGAATTTCTTAGTTTTTGTCTATAGATCAAAGCTTTTAGTTGATCAGAAAAGGTTCGTAATACAAGCAGTCTATACTAGAGAAATTCAGATAATTAATAAAATCAATTATGACATTTGCGATTTCTTGTTTGTAAAGATACTTTGATTCGATAGTACTGATTTGGTTGCATTAGCTATTATCCAAATACTATTCCTGTAATTCGAAGTGTTGTCTGCAGATGTAGCTACCAATTTTCCAAGATAGGCGCCCACTTTCAGAAAAATTTGTTTACCTTACGATTAGTTCTTTTTCCTGACACCTTGCTCTTCTCAAGGTATTTTGTTTCTTAAGAGAGGTGCTCGAACACTTCCTCGATACGTTCTTGATTGCATACTTTTCATTCTGTTTCGTTGAATCTGTCGTTTTCGTTAATTGTACGATTTTCTCATCCTTCTACTTATGTTTTTTCTTCGACAATATTCTCAATTTGAACAAAACCTTTAAATTACGAGTTCATTTTATTAGCTGTATCATTCTTTTAACTCAGACTCAGCGCAACACGTAAGTTTTCTACTGCGCTAATTCTGGGCTTTTTAATCAAGTCTATGTATCAATTAAAGCTTTGTCTAATACACATGAATTTAACTCTTATCGCAAAATGAAAATTTGCTCCAATACTATACATCGTATACATATCAAGTAGGATCAACTTTTTTCGTTAAAAATTCTCTTTCATATTTTTTAATCAGTAATGGATTGAGCTGATAGAAACCTTTCGTTTATTGTAGAAGTTAAAAAATCTCATAAGGTACAGTTCAAGACAAATAAATGAATTGAATGGCATATAAACCTACCTCGAAAAAACACATTTCAAATATCAAATGCAAGTAGTCGACATTCTGCGTGAGTACACAATATATCCTTAGAAAGAGATCACAAATGCAAACTTCTAACTTACATTAGTCCGTGATATATGAATATGGTAATAATTGATAGTAATGGGTGAAGATGTCATTATTTTTTTTAATACCGACCGTTATTTATAACTGAGATGTGTGATTGTTTTCATTCATGGTACTCGCATATATATATATATATACGGCTATATCTAGAAAAAAGAATCATTTATCCACGGCCTACTACTCGGACAATAATAATGTCGTCTGCACAAACAATACATTGTGAATAGAATTAACTCTTATAGTGTGAACAGTTCATCATCTTCATTATCACATACTAAAGAAGAACAAATGAAAGAAATAATTCTATGAATTATACTGTCAAAGAGAAACTAAGTTGCAAGCGTGAAAAATAGAAACTTACATTTCGGATAGACTATTTTCTAATTCAGTTGGAAAATTACTGTCATTTAGCAATTTTTCTTATATTCATGACAGATATTATAGTTTGTATTTTTAAAATTGAAGTTTGAAGTATAGTTTAGAAATACTAAAACTAGTTCATGAATCCTATTTCGATTGAAGCTAATAATCGTATGACGTTCAACCACAATCTCTAATAGATACGTAATATAATAAGAATAGGAATTGTATTGAGGAGTTCATAATAAGATATTCTTCTATTTTCATTGCTGTTAAAATACATACCACTAGATAACATACTCTAAAATAGAAATTCTACAAACAAAATATGATGCAAAGAAAAATAAAGCTTATTTATGAGGATATGGGTTTGTGTTGCCCTTTCTTGGTTCACACCCACACCCTTGAACAATTAATTCATTCATACCAACAACTTACATATCTTTACGTTCAACATAATCGAATAAAAGTTAATGTTTATATACTCTATTCAAATCCAACAAAAAATCTAACAAAGAAATATTCTATTCATATTGATATATATGAAAAAGTTTGATTTGCATATCGCGGAAGTCTTTTAATACCAATTAATTATCCATTTTTACTTGTACATCGTATTGCTGTTCAACTTTATATTTCAAAGATGGGCGATATTAAAGATATTTGTTCGAATAAAAATTGTATTAATAGTCGATGTATTAAATATTCAAATAATCAAGAAGGTATGAGTTTTTGTCATTGTTATCAACGATGGTCTGGAAAATATTGTACAATACAATATAATTGTATGTGTTCGTCTAATTCATTATATATTGATGTTTCAGGAGATAATTGATCTATACGTGTCTGTCCTCTCAATAGATGGGGTTCACTTTGTTTACTTTCAAATAATGTGTGTCAATTAAATGAAAATAGTACATGTTATAATGGTGGTCAATATCCACCTGTTGATGAATATTTAGTATCAGATAAAGAATTCATTTGTATTTGTCCAAAAGGTTATAGTGGTGAACAATGTAAAATAGTAGATAATAAAATTATATTATCATTTCATACAGATATAATTATGCCACATTCAATAATATCGGGTGTCCCAGGAATAATGAGCCTCCCAGTATTTTTAAGATTTCCTGTCTATTATCACTGTAAGTAAAGCTGTCTTAATTATCAAAAGAAAGCGCTTAAAATTCTCTACAAAACCATATGTGACTAGGCTCAAAAACAGTTTTAGATATATTTGAAAAAAGACGAAAGCTAAAGACATACAGACGGCTGTAAAATGTAAATATGTCATCAAGAATAANTCTAAATATTAAGTATTGAGTGTAATTGAAATCGATCTTATTCTGATTAACGAACGAAGATCTGTTCTATTTTCTTTAAAAACTAAAGAAGTAATATATTTTTTCGAACTTTAACTAACCGTATCACTAAAATTGTGAATGAAGTTTTAAGTCGTTTCTATTCTTTTAGTATTCTATCGATATTAAAATATACCTTGATTCTTAATAAACAGGTCGATGCTGTGAAACGTGGCATGTAATGAGTCTTCTAATTTACAGGAAGCAATTCAAATGTCGTTCACAGACAATATCTCTTCAGATAGATTTTCTTTATGAATCGATCTTTTAAAATAATGTCTGTCGCTTTTTAAAAGTAGATTCATCATATTTCATTGCGTTTGTCAAAGATTTGAATTTTAAAAATCCTACTTTGACAATACTCCCATTTAGATGTCGTTAACATTAATGAAACTATGATCGGTCTAAAATTTTTAACAAAGTAAACTTTTGTTTATTTTGAAATAATAGACAAATGAAACAATTTTTTTCTAAATACAATTTTAAAAATTAATCCTAAGGTATTGAGTGTTGAAGATGCGAGACTATTATTAAATAAGTGAATTTTATTAAATATTATTCTACTTCTTCAAACAGAAAAAAAGAGATGACAATTTTTATTATGGATTATGATTAATAATAAATTCAGTCATTCTGGAGAATTTAGGTAGTTACGAAAAAACTGAAAAAGATTGCATTATATTATATAATGTTTAAAATATCTGAAATTTCCATTATACAAACGTTTTTCATTTATGTACAATCCATTAATAGAGTAAATTTTCGTAATAAAAAGGGTCAATTAGTGATTTATGTAGTTTGATTCACTATATACTTATTCGACATTCAATCAAAAATATTTTTCAACAGTATAATCCTTGAAACGTGCTCTTTCAACGTAGTCGCACAATTCGTCGCGGACAATTCGTCGCAAGTATATATATATGTATTACTCACACAATACATGAGTTGGGATTAAATTAAAAATTTCAATGACTTAATTGGAAGACGCAGTTCATTACATGTAAGAAAATTAATTAGACGATGTTAATGTGACATCGATTGTCTCTCTTCATTGCGATGACAATGTCTATACGCTAGCAAAAAACTTAATTCTGAATCGAGTGTGAGTTAGAAGATAATTTTACACATTAGGAAGAACAAGAGAGTATTAAGCTCTGCTTTAGTTCTCAACGTTTCTTGGTAAATTATATGATTTTTTTAAATAAAATAAATTCGTATGCTTCTGCATAGACTTGAATACAGAAGCTTGAGAAAACTTTACTAAATCTACTTAAAAGAAGCCACTTTCATCCTAAGATTCAAGTCTCTGAACGTGACGAAGGTTGCTATTCGTCTTCAGCTTTTTCCAATTTTTGAATCTTTATGAATTATTCGATCGTCAGAAATAGAGTCTCCTAAAAACCAGAGAGTCGATAATTGATGTTCCGTCGATCTTGTTCTTTGCTCACAGTTTCGACGTCTGTTATTTTCTCCTATAACGCGTGTCAATTCCAATGACGAGAGAAAATCGATGTCACATTAACATCGTCTAATTAATTTTCTTGCATGTAATGAAGTGCGTCTTCCAATTAAGTCATTGAAATTTTTAATTTAATCACAACTCATGTATTATGTGAGTAATATATATATATACCCCCGAGCAAAATAAGTTTTACACCTTGTTTTTTCGATTATTTCTCCATACTATTGTCATTTAACCTAAAATTTATATCATAAATAGATCGTTGATTGCTTAATGTACTCTGAAAATTTCAGCCTTATAGAATGAGAATTCGTTGAGAAAAGTACAAAAATGTCTCATGTACTCATATATCAATGTAACGAAAATTTTCTGTTTTCTTGCTAAACTTTGTTTTTTTTTGTTTTCAAAAACATTGATCTTTAATTAATGAATCCGCTTCCACAGGTTTCTTCTTAGTGTTTTGCGAAGGAATCTATCCAAAAAGCCCGTAACAGTGCAAAAAAAAATCGGGAAAACCCAAATTATGCGTCAAAAGTTAATGTTTTTGAAAGCAGAAAAAAAACAAAATTTAGCAAGAAAACAACAAATTTTCTTTACATTGATACATGAGTACATGAGACATTTTTCTAGTTGTCTCAATGAATTCTCATTCTATAAGGCTGAAATTTTCAGAGTATGTTAAGAAATCAAAGATCTATTTGTGCTATAAATTTGAGGTTAAATGACAATAGTACGAAGAAATAATCGAAAAAACAAGGTGTATAACTTATTTTGCTCCGGGGGATATATATTACAAGTAACGCTCGTCTGTGTGACTTGCTTGACCCTCGACTGAATATTCAGCTATTTTGGTATTGTATACTGCTTCGCAATCCTCAACACAGCTAGTATCAAACATTTGAAAATGGTGCATGTGGATATGAATATTGACATTCGCATTAATGTCCTTGTCTACGATGACATGCGTGTTTCTGTGATACGTTTTTTTATAAATTCATCCAACCAAACTGAGGCACACAATAATATCCAACGAAAATCTAAATGAACAACACTAAGGCAGCAGTATCCACATGCCCCAAGAAAAGAGACTACATTTAATATACCGAAAGACAATCTACAAAGAAAGCACATCCACGACACTAGCGTGAAAACGCATCATACTTCTTGAAAACGAATAAAAACCCGTATAGTTACCTGCACATCAATCGACAATATCATTTGCTAATGCCCGCTACAAAAATACATATTTAGCTGAACTTGTAGATTAAAATTAAATCATATTTGATCAGACTTATTCTCGGAATATGCCACTTGAACGACGCTCGTACTCCAAGTAGTCATAGGATTAGACAGATAATTTCAAAATGCTCGAATAAATTTAGACGAGTAAATGCACACAGACACGAACACATAATGACAGAAAAGCTAATTTTATTTCATTCAAATCTACTTCGAATGGACTGAAATGAATTCTTCGCACGATTTTTTCCGTCGAATGTCCTATTCAAATGCTGCGCACGTGCAGCACAACTGTTCTCACATTTCATTCGAAAATATCTGTTAGTCTTTTGGTCAGTTCTGGTTTCTATTGAACTCGCCAGATCTGAACCGTAGGCATTTTCCCGATGGATCGCAACAACCTGAAGAATACCTTGAGGGAATTTCGCAGAGCAGCAGCTAGTCAGTTATCGGCACTCCTTCGGGGCGCCACTCGCAGCTAGCCGCTGCCATGCTTAATTCCATTCTGGCATAAGATCATCCTCTTTGATTTACACTCTCTGATTCTAGATTGCGCTTAATTGCAAAAGTCATTAGAATTATAATATGAGAATTCCCATGAGAATTTTCAAAGCTGAAACTTTGTTGTAAACTATTCCTTATGTCTTTAATTTCATTGTCGAGCTAGCCAATCAGAGGTTCATTTAAATTCCTCATTAAGAGAATCTTAGTGTAGTATTCTCCAAAAAAGCACTAGCCTTTATATAGATAATTTCTGAAGCGAATCAACAGTGAACCTGAAATATGAGCGACTAGTTGTTCGTCGGCGCCCCTCCGGGGTGTCACTCACGGCTAGTCGCTCCATTATTGGAAGGCACCTAAGCAATAGCTAGTTATTCTCTTTTAAACATAACAAAATGTGACATCATTTTTATATATTTGTTTATATTACCTTCTTTGAGTCATAGTGGCGAGAAATTCCTTGAGTCAGAACTTCTGCTGAAAAAACAAATGCGAATAATGCAATATTAACCTAGAAAAAACACAATGCGAGCAGGCTCATACCAAAGTACGTGCCTGAGTGGGTAGAACTTGTTCTGCCCCATGCCCACACCAGGGAAAAACGTGAGATATAGTTCACGTTAGTGAGTTTGTTGAGTCTGTAATCCCGGTAACACATTTGAATACAGTACTCTCCCAATCAATGCCAGATCACAAGCTCATTTTATTTCATACCACTCAATGGTCAGTGCACCGAAAACTCATTGTTTCCCTAAAAAACCTTACCCTGATGATAAAATTAAAGCTGCAAACTTCCAGCAATATACTAAAAATTTGGATGCCTGAACGTCGATTTAGGCTCGTCAACTTTTCTAAAGTTTTATATGCGAGATAACGACGTGATGGTATGACAAGAGAACGGAACAAAAGAATAATTTCCGTTCGCAAGGAATCCAACCATGCATCTTCTGCTTTCCTGGCAGCTGCATTACCACTATACTAGAAAGGAATGATTATTATCGTCTTTCTTCCGTCTTATAACCGAAGGAGACACTTCATTTGTCACATCAAACATCGTTATTTTCTCGAAAAACCCATTGTTTGACTGAAAAAATCAAAATCAAAATATTGAGACATCGACTTCAGATCCAGATTCCTCGATCTCGATTTACATTCGCCAACCTTTTTAACATGTGAAATCTGACCTCAGATTGGAGAACCTGGCCATCGATAACCTATGGGAAGGTTCCATCAAAAGGCCGAAAAAGCTTAAAATGTAAAAGTTCATTTCTGATTGGTCGGCATCCTAGCCAATGGGAAGGTCGAGTGTAAAATCCAACCTCATTTTCGGATTCCCCGACCTCAATTACCTTTGGCGAAACTTTGGAAGTTACGACTAAATAGACTTCATCTCTGATGTTTTTTTGACCCTGACACATACACACACACTCACAACCGCATTATATTTCATATGACCCTTCCTACAGTCGAGAGAATATATATATTTACGACGAATTGTCCTGCGACAACATTTTCATGCGACTAACTGTCTCGCGATGAATTGTCCTAGTGTCCTCTTTCAAATATAGTGANTATTTTCTTTAAAAA